AGGGGTTAAAGAATTGGCTTTCAATCTGGTGAAACCAAATACTTGGATTATCTTCCCAAAACGGCGGTACTTTAACTGAGATTCTGTTGATTGCAGGTGCTTGCATTGAAACGATAGTATTGTCGACAGACATGTTCGAATGATTAAAAACGTGTTCTTCTTAATGCTGTAGTCACCAATTTGGGGTTGGATTAATGGCTAGACACCCAATATAGAAAAATAAATTCTTTAATTAATCAAAATATGTACATGGCAATAAATAACAGGAATCTCAGCGATGAGTAAAACGCATACATGAACTACAGTCAAAAGTCGTTAATCTGGACTCGTCGGGACTTCGGCGATTCCTTATTATCGATTTTTTCAGATTATAGATCATCAGTTTAAATATGGTAAGATGGCATACAGAAATTACAAAATTAAAAATATGAAACCGTAATTTATGAATTAAAGAACAATTATGATCAAAAGGGTGTCAAACTTTACAAAAAGAAAAATTGTAAAGATTTAAAAAAGGTGAATCGGAGGCCGATGATAATTAAGTAGAGGCTTTATTAAATGATGGAATTTCACGCACATGGAACAGCACGTTTGTACATATCATGACCAAGAACTACTACTACTGTTGCCAGATCAACCTAAGCAAAAGTATAAAACAGTTACAGTTAAAATACATGACATTAAACAAGAACGGGGAGTACGTGTGATTATTCTCAACACCCTCCCTTAATCACATATTATTTTACATTTATCTCTTAAATAACATAATCTTGGTTTAGGGAAGCATTTTGTAAACAAATCAGGTAACTGATTTTAACTAGAAACATATACAAGATTTATACCATACAATTTTACAATATCCCTAATATACTTTAATTTAATATCCAAATGTTTTAGTCTAATACAATTATTTTCATTTAATATTGCTTTAATTACAGGCTGATTATCCTCATAAACTGAAACTTTAATATTGTCGACTCCTAAAATTTCTTTAGATACATTATAAAATACAGTTAGGTCTTGAATAGCTTTTGCTAAAGCCAAAATTTCTGCCTCCGTAGAGAACAGAGCAATAGATTTTTTTTTTTTTTTTTTTTAACAGACCAAGTTACAGAACAATCATTAAAGAAAATAATGTACCCGGAAATAGATTTTCTATCATTTGTATCTGACCCCCAATCGGCATCAACATAAACATTTATCATAATATCAACACTATTAGATTTACAAAATAATAATTTAAGTTCAGATGTCCCTTTTAAATATCGAAGAATTTGCTTCAGACCAGCCCAAGCACTGTTAGTGGGTTGTTCTTGTATCTGACTCAGACAGTTCACAGAAAACAGAATATCAGGACGAGTTGTCATAGACAGATACAGCAAAGCACCTACAAATTCACGATAAGGGCCATGAAATCTTTCACCATTCACAAAATTTGATGAAGTTGACTTTGTCACAGAGGAGTATCAGATGGCTTACAATCTAACATTCTAAATCTATTTAACAATTTTTCAACATAAGACTTTTGGCCTAAAGTAAGTTTGCTCTGTGAATATTCAAAACTTATTCCTAGAAATCTCAAATTTGAAATAGCACTTCAGTAAATCAAGAAAAATCGTCTATGATTGTAGCAAAATACTTTTCACCTTCCCTAGAGGGTGGATCCATGAGACCACATATATCAGTGTGTACCATTCTCATTGGCACATGCTCTCTGCTTCTAAGACCTTTGTTCATAGGAGTGTTGGAATGTTTTGCTAGTATACACTCTTCACAAAAGCTTGAAGGTGATTCTGATACTGGCAAACCCATTTCTTTTAATATTTTATCAGATGAGTGCCCCATGCGCCTGTGCCATAATTCTGCACTATGATTTGCATTGTATGTTTGAAGCTTTAACAGGTTCAAATTGACTCACATACTGTCCTTTCTCATTGAGTTTAGCAAACTCAAATTTTCATTCCTCTTTTCAATAACAGCTACATCATTCTTAAAAATTAACCTGCTTTTTGAATATTCTTCACAGATATTAATTGACCGTTCAACTCAGGCACATATAACACATCTTTAAGTAATATTTCTCTTCCATTTAATGTTCCAGGTACTATACTAATACCTTCTAACTTTAAAACTTCATTTTTCGAAGCACATGCAACAGTTCCAGAAAAAGGTTTAATTTCTTCAAACTACTCAACTTTATTACACATGTGTGTAGATGCTCCAGAATCCAGAATGAAATTTCCAACAGGCTCACCAACCATGAATGTTACTGCAGCCGATTCTCTATAATCTGATTTATGCTTAAATCAGCAATCCTTGTAATGCCCTGGGCGTCCACATCCAAAACAAACTAATTTTTTCTTGCAAAGCTTGGCAATATGACCGTTACTTTTACATTTGTGGCAGATGATATCACGCTTATCAGCGCTAAAAGCTACGTTATTACTTGAGCCAAAAATACGAGAATCGTAAGAATTTCTCTCACCTTGCAATTCTTCAGCATTCAAGAGCCTTTGCATAACAAAGTCCAGCATAAGCATTTCATTTGGCTGATTCTCAATCATCGATTTCATAATGTGGTACTCAGAAGGTAGCGACATCAACAAATAAATAATCACATCCATATCTTTGACTTTAGCACCCGAGAGCTGCAGTTCATTTACGATCGCCAACAGTTCGTTAATATGTGACTGCATACTGCAATCTCAATGTTTCTTCAGTGTCGATAATTTCTTTCGTACTAATATTTGACTAACTGCACTCACCTTATGGTATTTATTCTTTAAACTGCTCTAAATTTCATATGTAGAAGATTCACTTTACATGGTCGCCAATACGGCATCATCTAGAAGGGTTAGCAGCAACGTGTAAGCCTTTTTTGCATCTTTGATTTCAGCAACTTTCGTTTCATCCGCTTCAAAGTCTAAATATTTATCAAGTTCTTTGGCCGCAAACACAGCTCCAACACGGCGTTTAAACAGAGAAAAGTTTTTACCGTTAAATGGCTCAACACAATACTTCATCACGTGCTACCATTTCAAATTTCACTTAACGCGCGATTCCGTTCCAAACAAATAAGTTCCACAAAGCAAATATAAATGCTTCGCCTCTAGCGTGTTCAATATCAGAACTACGCTCTGCTGTAAAGATTTAAAAAAGGTGAATCAGAGGCCGATGTAATTAAGTAGAGGCTTTATTAAATGATGGAATTTCACGCACATGGAACAGCACGTTTGTACATATCAAACCATGACCAAGAACTACTACTACTGTTGCCAGATCAATCTAAGCAAAAGTATAAAACAGTTACGGTTAAAATACATGACATTAAAACAAGAACGAGGAGTACGTGTGATTATTCTCAACAAAAAGCTTAATATTTATTTGTTTACTTTATTAAACATTTCTTTCAGTGTAAGTTGTTTAAGTTGCTTCGTTTCATGTGATAACACTTTCTCTTTAATTGTATTAAACAGACATAATTTTTTGGGAATTATAAGCCAAATAAAATAAAAACATCTGCCTTGAAGATAAGGATAGTGCTGACACATTAACTACCAATTCATTGTGCGTTGCAGCGTTCCTCCCCCCCCACAGAGCAGCGTGAAATTCATAAACAGATTTTGGATTTTGAAACATACTTTCGCTTTGTAGATCCTTTACATATTAGTAAATGTATATCGGAAATTCTATTTGACGTAATCGAAAGTTCAAGCTTACTTTTATAAAATTGCTCTAACAGTCTGCAGAAAGTAATAAGCTGGATCCAGTTCAAAGATTAAGGAACAATGCAATCTACAACATTAACTGAATTAGATAATATTAGCTTAGCTTATACTGTCCGTTATACATTAAACGCGCATGCGGAAACGTATTTTGCGCATGCCCACACGCATATTCGCAGCCGTAAAGGTCTTACGCGCGCGCGTAAATGCCTATGCGCAGAAAATTTGTAGCTTTGAGGTCCGGATAATAGATCATTCTGGATTATGGGTGTCCGAATTAACGACTTTTGACTGTAGTAAAAAAAACAGAAGGCGAAAAGTTCTCTTTTTGCAGTTGTGCAGAGATGATATTCTTATTGCGCATGCGTGAAGAGAACTCGAAGCGCCGAAGAAATGTGTGGGGGGGGAGAGGTAGCCCCACACTCTATTAATTCAGCTTTTGATCAATGAATTATTACAACAGTGAAACAATAATATTGCTATGAGCTAAGTATTAAAGTACTTTATAATATGGATGTAAGTGCAATTATTTTAACAAAGAAAGCTATCTTCGTGTACTACTTGTATTGAATATATTGGAGCCAGGTTTTGGTAAAGACAATAAAAAATTATTTTAAATATGTAATTTTTTTTTTAAATGATGAAATAAATTAAGTTTAAGAAATAAAAGCAGCATCTTTAACTGTCCATAAATTGTGAGAAATTTAACATATGGGTAGACCCTGATGAAAAACTTCAAATTGTAACATTGGTGACAGAAGATATTTGCTAATCACTTTCCAAAACAAATCCAAGCACATCATGCGATAAACTTTCTGAAGGTGACTCAGTGAATTTCCTACAAATGCTGAGATGAAATATGCTTTTTGAGTGTTAACATTAGTAGTGCAGCATTGGTCAAATAATTTCCAGAAACATTATAAACAGTTTTGTTTAACAGTTTGCAAACATTCCAATAGTAATGACAGTGGCCTTAATTAAAATATGAATGTCACATATTATTATGTTTCTAGTTATAATTTTATTAAAATGGTCAAATTCCATTACATTTTTGAAGGATATTTTTTCCCTCATCATTTAAGATTGTGAAAATAGGCATGGTCAAACATGATCACATTAAGCACTGCTTTCTGTAACTTTTATTAGGTTGGCTTTGGTTTGTTGAAGATCAGCCCAACAAGCCTCTATTTGAGTGTTACTTTATTGCATTTTTTATATTGTATTTCAGTTAACCTTACATGTGTATATTTATTTTTATTTTTTATTACATGTAAGTGGACAGTAAATGGAGAGCTCAGGATTGGATTTTTTGCTAAGCGAGATCTTAAAGCTGGAGAAGAGCTTACTTTTGATTATAGATTTCAACGTTACGGGTTTGTAATTTTTCCCTTTTTTTTATTTAAACGTTATATATTTTTGTTAATTTTCCTTCTATAAGTTTCAAGTTATATTAATTTTATATGTGTGTATGTTTTGCTTGCCTGATTAATTCATTGTTAATAATCAAAAGTGTAATGCTTTAAGCATGCTTCCAAGTATTAGATAGGTTTAATCTTGTGGGTAAAGTAAGGGTATTTTAAATCTATTTGCTTCATATTTAACTGTGAATCTTTGATCCTGTGGCTTCATATTTATCTCTGATAAGATTTTTTTTTTTTTTTTTTTGGCGTGTTACTCAGATTTGTTTTTGTTGAAATATATGATTTTCTTCAGATAGTTTGTTTGATTTAAAGTTTTCATTGTATTTTGCACAACATCTCTTTTCAACAGTTTAAAGTTGTATATTCAAAAATAAATTTTTAAGTTTTGCACACTAGTGTATGTCCACAAGCACCTCCACCAGCTGGAATGACCATAAATACTACAGCGAACTAATTGGTGACAACTTATTATTCCCATAACCAATGAAATAGGATATTTGAATTATGTCCAAAAAGCAATGGCAGCTCTTTAATCGAAATTTCTGAATAGTGTTTGCGACAAATGGTTCATTGCATCTTCCTCTTCTTCAGTGGCCAGACAGCCCAGAATAGGCCCTTTCCTTCCTCAGAATCGAATTCCAAGCTCTTCTATCCTTGGCCTTGGACATCTAGTTAGTTATTTTTAAAATTCTTAAATCTGTTTCCAAACAGTTGAGCCACCTAAGTTTAGGTCTCCCTCTTTTTTGGGTGCCGAATGGTCTGGCCGAGAAGATCTTTTAGTTACACGATTTTCATCCATTCTGCACAGGTGTTCTGCCCATTTAATTCTCTGAATCCTTATATATTTCACTATATCTTTCTTAAACACTAGAACCATGGCAATTTCAGTATACCTAAAACTGTGGTTGGGTGAAATTGACTCCAATTAAATAACCCTTGTTATGCTAAAAGTACGCTGTAATTATTTGACAATGACATTTATTCATTTTTAGCATTAAATTGTTATAATAAGTGATAAAAATAATAGGATACTACAATATGGAATATTGTATACAGTTAGTAAAATATACAGACAACTTTAATAGAAATATTTAGTTTCTTACCAGTCAAGATTTCCTACACAGTTCATGCACATTTTGGGCAACTTCTTTTTAAAAATTTTGTACACTTTCCACATATCGGTATTTTACAGTCAGAACAAGTATCTACAGTTTTGTTTCTACACTTGAAAGCTTGAAATCCTTTTTCGTATCTGCACACTCTTCAGTAGTATCCGCTTTTGTCTGTGTATCTGAATTGTACTTTCTTTTGTTCTGAAAAAGAAAAGAAAGTACAAGTCTAGTATACAGTCTAAAGAAAGTACAAGTCTTCAACAACTCATTGAAGAGTTGTTCGGCTTGGAAATATTCTGTGAAGGCAGGATCAAGGAGGTGGCCAGTTCATGTGTTCTACAATATTCTTGATCTTGCAGGGATTAGTTCATGGATTTTATACAAAGAAGTAACTGGAAAAAACTTACGAGGAGCGAATATCTTCAACAACTCATTGAAGAGTTGTTCTAAATAAATAAAGCAAAATTTCTGTTGGAAATACAAAAAGGAAAAAATGTTCAGAGTAATAACAGTGATAATAGATGATGTCACAGTAATTATGAATTATTTTTACCACACAGTGCAAAATTTAATTGTACATAATCTGGAATATATAAAAAATTTTAAATCATCCTTTAAAAATAAATTGCTCAATTGTAAGACTAAATTAAGTGTACAGCTATTAATCCTGTTTCCCAATGACTGCTTTTTAAATGCAAGAGTATTGTAAACAAAAACTGTTCTTTCTGTTTTGAAGTTTTCTGTTAAATAGTTCTAAATTAAACTATTTTAAAATTCAGGTAAATTGTTAATAGTATTTTCTGTAACTTATAATAAAGGTTATTCTTTCTTTCTGTGTTTTTAACCTGTGAGTTTGTGTTAACTATGGGTGTTATCCCTGGTATCACATTCGCTAATCATGGGACTACTCTGTTTGAAACTTGGCTCCTGCAATCAATGTCAAACATTTCCTTCATCATTATAATTGAATAATCAGAATTTATGCAAAATCAAATAAATCCTCAAAATCATTAGTGCATATACTATAAAGTTTAATGAGCAGTTAATGTTAGAAATTAAAGTATAACATTTTTTAAAATTTTATTTAAAATGAAATTGACATATTTTAAGATGCCTCATAATGTTGATATGACTATCAGTAGTAGTTCTAGTCCATATAAATGAATTTTTTTTAAGTTAAAGAGCTCTCGTTGTGAATGGAGATTTAAATTTACTTAAATTTTAATTAATAATATTTGTTTTGTTTTATGCATACAATTTTGTTCGTCCAATTATGGTGTCATGTTTCACAACACTGCATATTGAAGATATGTGCATTTTACTTTTATTTGATACAGTGGTTTCTTACATATTATTGCATAACTTAAAACAAAAAAGCATTATTTTGGTATAGATTTTTGAATAAAATTCTACTCATTTCAAGTGTATAGACCTCTCTTCCTTAGGAGCACAAAATTTTTTTCTAGTCCTGAGGAAAAAGAACTTATATATCACCCTGCATTTGAAATTATTATATTTATTCAAAATCTGCATTACCTAAGGTATCTCTTTTTCCTAACTTTACTTTGGCATCTTCTTCTAATTAGATTTATCATATACAGTACAAAGTCCGAGTTCCAATATCCAGAATGATCTAAAATCCGGACCTCAAAACCGCCTAAAACTTTTTTTTTAAATGCTTTACGCATGCACATTTGATTTTTTCCCCTGTAGATAAAAGATATGGAGCTTGTTGATTTTTAATTTCCATTCAGCACAAAATAATAACTTAAACTAATATAAATACCTTGTTATTGAAGAAACAGTAATTTAGATTATTTATTTGGTTACGTAGCTATATGCTTGGCACGCACCTCAAACTGAAACATTCTACATAGAAACATCATTGATTTCACACCTACTTATTTTATAACCTGGACACCAACCTGGCAAACCATTATTTATTATATTTCGCTTTCATCACCTCATGTTTATCAACACATGACAATTTGAGTAATGACTCATGCAGCAATGCCCAAATTTTTTTATATAATTAGTACTTAAGGGAGTATGGTAACCTTTTATGTTGACATTATTACGTATGGCAATGATTGCAGATTTAAGGTAAGTGCACTATAAGAAATATTGACGAGGGAAAATGTAACAAAAATTTCTTTCCATATGCTAAAAATAGATTTTGTTAATGATACTCATACTCATAGGCTGAAAGATTGCATTTAGGGCTATTTAAATTAAGAATAACTTATTTGCTTTTCATATAAACCCAGAAGTGGTGACAAAGCACATATGGCTGCACCGAGCGGCAGAATCAAGGGAGGATAAGATTTTGGAATTTAAGAGAAGCACCGAGCAACAAAATTAAAAGATGAAAATAATTTTAGAATTTAAGGTAAGCACTGGGATCTAAAATTTAGGGGTGGCAAAAATTTAGAACTTAGAGAGGTGCTTGATAGCAGAATTTAGGACCAGCAGAGACTGCATCAGGTGATAAGATATCTAGCACCAACCTTTGATAAGTGTTCAAATTGATTTATGCAGGATTCTCGATGCAAGAATATATTTATTCTGGATTCAGATATGTATTAAGTATGTGCAACAAATAGACATAAGGTATTACATAGACTCCAACTACTACGGATTCTCCGTAGTTTCTACGGAAATTCATGAAAAACTACGGATTTTACAGAAACAAGAGCAGGAGAACCAGTACGCAAAACGGAACCAACTAATTCATCCGATGATTGGCTGAATACTCGTGTTATCATATATCACGTGTTGAGTGCGTTCCTAGTTTTGAAGAATTAGCCAATCGTAGATCAGTAACTCCAACCGTTAACGACTTATCAATAGTTCCACCCAATTGTCTGTCTCCCAGGTTCCTCGCTGATGCGTGTTTAGGCTGCATTCGGCTGCATTGTGTTGTTTACGGCGAGAGCTTAGCGTGTGTCTTGTGAACTGTGAATCAGGTGAAAGATTTTTAATCATAATGCTGCCTCGAACGAAGAAAGAAGCCAAAATTATCAAAGCAGAAGTTTAAAGATTCATATTCTTCAGAATTTCCATGCATTAAAGCGTCCGAAATTTCTGTGAATCACGCACACTGCAGTGTATGCAACAAAGACTTCTCAGTTGCTCATGGCGGAAAAGATGACTGTAAAACGGCATGTGTTTTCTCAAAAGCATATAGAACTTGGCACCGTAAAATCTAAAGAAATAACAAATTTCTTAATAAAAGATGATGAAACAGATCCTATAAAAGCCGAATGCTATTTTGTTCGTTTTTTAATTGAACATAATCTACCGCTTTCTGTTTCGGATCATTCCAAAGAGCTTTTCAAAGCAATGTTTCCGGATTCTGCCATAGCAAAAAAATTTAGCTGCGGTCATACCAAAACTGCTGCTATTGTGAAAACGCTTGCAGAAAATACTGTTGCTGATATTATAAAATCAGTGTGCAGTACATCATTTTCTCTAAGTACTGATGGAAGTAATGATAACAATGATAACAAACTGTACCCATTGGTTATAACATACTACAGTAAAGGGAGTGATAATTACTTCATTGATTTCTATTTTAGAATGCACGAATAATACAGGAGAAGGTATTTTTAATTGTATAAATGAAAACTTTAAAAACAAAGGTTTAGAATGGAAAAATTGCTTATCATTTTCTTCAGATAGTGCTAGTAATATGATTGGAAAGTTTAAAGGTGTAGCATCATTTATCAAAATGCATCAACCAAGTATAATCACCCGAGGTTGTCTGTGCCACCTCTTGCATATAGCTGCAAAAAAAGCTACTGAAAAAATTAATTGGCTCAGAAATTGAAATTTGATAATAGATATATTTTTACTTGGAGAAAAGTTCGAAACAGAAGCATAGCTTCAAAGTTGCTCAACAAATTTTGGGACAGAATGCAAAATCTCATAAAAATTTTGAAATATTGCAGTACGAGATGGTTGTCTCTTTTAGAATCTATAACAAGGATTTTGGAACAGTGGGATGCTGTGATAAATTTTTTTGGAGATAAACCAGATAACAGTGAGAATGAAGGAAAGAGATTGCAAAACATTAAAAAAATGTTTACAGTCACCGACACCAAATTGTACTTGTTATTTTGAAAAATACTTTGCCTTTGTTTATAACAGTAAATATTAATTTGCAACAACAAGCTCCTTATATACATAAATTGAGAAGAGAACTTTTGAACTTTTAATGAATTTATTTGTTAGATTCGTAAAACCATCAGTAATTTCTAAAGAAAATGAAGATGTTACTCTAACGTCTATTCCATTTCAGAAGTATAGTAAACAAAAAGAAAATGAAAATTTAGTGATTGGTGCGGAAACAAGACTATATTTAAAAAATGCCAAGTTGAATGAAAGTGAAGTGAAATCATTTTTCAATTCTGTGAGAGCTTTTTTTGTAACTGCATGTTCATATATAATTGATAAATTTCCACTGAGTGATCCATTTCTAAAACATGCTGAAGTTGCTGACATCAACTTGAGAACCTAAGTCTCATTTTCATCTGTTCTTTACTTGATGAATACTTTTCCATCCATTATTGATGAAAAATGTCTTAATCAAGTAGAAATTGAATTTTCCATGTATCAACTAGATGATTTGAAAGAAATTGTAGATTTGCGTATTGATATAGCATGGGGAGAAATTGCCAAATTAAAAAAATATGAATGGGTGTATTAAATACAAAGTATTGCCTTCTGTAATGCTTGCTGTCTTAATAATACCTCATTCAAATGCAGCTTGCGAAAGAATTTTTTCTATTGTTAAAAAAAATCAGACGGAATTTCGACCAAATTTAGGTCTTAAAACTCTTGAAGCAGTTTTGATTGAAAAAATAAATATGCAGGCAAATGAAGAACTGTGTTATAAAAAAACATTCTCAAAATCAGAACTTAAGCTTCCTAAGCATGCTACATATAAATTTTTGCATTCATAAATTATGCGTATTTTGTTTAATACTTATATGTATCATTCTTGGTTATTTAAATTTTATTTCCCTGTAGAAATCATATCCAGAATAAAGATATGATTTATAGCTTCTGATTTTTTCTATGATTAGTAGTGATTTGAAGTACTTTTTATTAGTGAATGCTTGAGGAGTTAAAAGAAAATTTCTAATTAAATGTGCATATAAATTTACAAGGTATATTTTTAATTATTCAGTTTTATATGTATATGGATTTTAAATGTAATAAAATTGATTACAATTAATTATTAATTTAAAATTAATGAATGGTTAATTACAAAATACGCTACGCGCACATTTTCAAAGTTGTAAAAATGTCGTTCGCGCGTTGACTACTGACAAGGTTTGCTGAAGGTTGGAGTCTATGGTATTATAGATAAGTAAACTAATATAATCAGGCTTAACTGTCTCGGTGCGCGATAGAAGGAAGACAAAATTTAGCGGAACAACTTGTCTTTCGTCACCATACATAGCCAATAATGTATAGCAGGCGCTATTAAGCTAGGCTAAAATTATACTTTACTGATTCCAAGGAATCAGCCAATATAGCAGACTGCACTACCACTCTGATTTGACCCAGCGTAATTATTTTTTATAGCAGTTTGATGAAAACTTAATTTTTAACTTTCAATCATGTCAATAAGAGTTTCTAATTCTGGAGCTGCAGGTGGTTCTAGAAAGCAAAAGCATGTTTTGATGTATGTTAAACAAAATGTGGAATTTCTGCAAGAAATGGATAAAGGTATATTTGTCTCAAAATTATGCAAGGAGTATGGCACTAGAGCTTCAGCTGTAAATGATCTGAGAAAATAGAAAAAGGAACTTTTGAATTCTTTGTGCATTCTAACACCCCGCTTGCAACAAATAGGAGGAGGGAATTATTATTCTAGAAGTAAAGATCATGACAAAGTGATCATTCAGTGGGTCAGACAGCATTGCAGCGTTTCTGGCAATATGTACCGCAAAATATCTTGGCAACCTCCATAAAAAAGGCTCCAACTCATGTCAAAGATTCCAAAGCGAGACTACCAATTTTAGGAATGCACAAGTGTAAACCATTCATAATCGGAAAAGCTATACGACTTCGAGCGTTTAAAGGAGTAAAAAGTTTCCCTTTGTATATTGTGCAAATAAAAGAATACGCATGACACATGTGTTATTGGATGATTGGTTTGAAAATCATTTCATACCCGATGCTTGGCAGAATTCAGTTTGTTTACCTGATAGCGCAAAAATTGTCCTGATTGTCGACAACTGTTCGGCTCATACTTCACTTAAAGTTTTAGTGAAATGCAATGTATCCTATATTCTTTCCTCCAAATTGTACGTCAGTCATTCAGCCTATTGGTATCGGAACAGATCGTACGCTGAAATGAAAATATAAAGTAGAATTTTTAAAACCCTTGTTAAATTTCTTGAATAATAATTACACTACTCAAGAAGTTTTGAAATATTTTAGCATAAAATCTGCTTTGTGGAGCATCGCAAGATCGTGGGAGGATGTGTTAATTAGCTGACCATAAATTATGCCAGATGTTTGGCATAATTTATGGTCAGCTAGCATATTTCATGTTGAGGTTATTGAATATGATAGCTGCCATTGTGAAGGTTTTCAGATATTGCAAACCAAAGGCTAAATTTTCTAATTGATAGATTTTTAAAAAGAAATGTGGAGAAGCAATAATAAATGAAGATGATATAACAGAAGTTTTTCATTGCGATGACCATGCTCCAATTATCAGTCAGTTAACAGACAGCAAAATATGTAGTATGGTTTTAGATCCAAGAAAATATCACTACCAATAGTGAAGAAAGTGACAGAGAGGTTATTGAAAATGAAAAAATTTAGATTGACAAATTGGAAATTCTCTACTGAGAACTTGAAAAATGGAAATTTGTAACTGAATAAGAAATTATGTCTGTCTACAGAATTAAACAGAAAATATTAGCACAAAAAAAGCAACTTAAACAACTTACATTGAAAGAAATGTTTAATGAAGTAAACAAATAAATATTAAGCTTTTTTTTTTTTTTTTTGTAAATTTTGATACCCTTTAGATCGTAATTGCTCTTTATTTCATAAATTATGGTTTCATATTTTAATTGTATAATTTCTACATACCATCTTACAAGCTTTAAACTGATGATGTGATATCCGGAAAAATTCCAAATCCAGAATCGCCGAAGTCCCGATGAGTCTGGATCTTGGACTTTGTACTGTAGTTACTTCCAACTTCAACTATATGGCACTGAAATTATTTTTGTAATCAGTCAACTAGTTACTTTTAATTGAACTTCTTCAATACCTCTGAAATTATAGCTTCAACTATATGGCACTGAAATTCTTTTTGTAATCAGTCAACTAGTTACTTTTAATTGAACTTCTTCAATACCTCTGAAATTAATTTATGTAGTTTATGACAAGCAGAATTAAAATTTTTTAAACCATAGTATTTCTAGTGTCTGAACAGGGGAATTTAAATACTCTTGCCTCACACTTTACATTCGTTATGTGATCAGGGCTAAGTGAAAGCATTCCTGAAAATCCTCCTAAGTTAACTTTTGATCTCAAAAGATTTGCTTACATGATGAAGTTAAAATGCTAATAATGAATCGAATTTGAATCGTTCATTTGGCATAGGCACAATAATTTAAACAACTATTTACAAAGTGCATATTAATATTAAAATCACAAGTTTTGAGTATCTTAATTACTTGTCACATTCTGGTAAGCAGTAGTATGTGGCTTGCAGTTTCACAGTTAGGTATCATGGACTTATCTCCCAAAACTGGGGCCCTTTTTGAGAGGATGATACTATTAGAGACAGATATTTTTGATCGGTACAGATGCTGAATTGGTCTAAGTATCTGTCCATGTGTAATTTGAACACTGATGCACTAAATTCGTTTGTACATCTGTAAATAAAAAAGTCTTGTCTACTGCATATTTTTTTATTAGTATACTTCTTATGAAAAAGCGGCAAGCCAAATTTGGTAGATGTTTAAAGTCTAATTGAAGGTGAACGTTATTTTTAACTTTTATGTATTTTTAACCTTGTTTTACCAAATAAATGGAATATTGCTTTATTTAAGTTTTTTTTTAAATAGATTTTTATTTTTGCTCTTTCAGACGCCTGCCACAAAAATGCTATTGTGGAAGTAGCATATGCAGTGGCTATATTGGTTTATCCAGTCAAATATCATTGGACATTAACACTAGTAAGACAGGTAATAAGCGTAAAAAGCCAACTGAGGAAAAGATGAGGGACTTGGAGGATTTAATGGTATGCTACTGTTTTTGATAAAATTTGACTTTGAATTTTGAACCATGGTGTTTGCCTTTTTTTAAAGTCACCAGAATGAGAATAATTACCTAAAATAATCACTGACAGTCCTTTCTATAATATCAGTTTGTATTAATAGGTATGTAAATTTTGTAGAATCTTATTTTTTCAACCAAAAGAGTTGCAGAGCTTATTTTGGATGATTCCCCCCCCTTGCATAACTTATGCAAACTTCTTCTAATAGTTGCAGCTAGAAAAGAGTATATACAATATTGTTGAACAGTTAAAAATGGGCAAAATAGCAACTGTATTTTCATGTAAATTTTGATTAAAACTCTAGCAGTTTCAGCACGTCAGTTATAGGTCCCAATTCTTCAGGAGCAAAAAATTTCTGCCATTTGCCATGTACTGGGTCTGAATGCCCTCGAAATCAAAAGAGTTTTATTCCAGTTGCTAGTAAAATCTGTGCCTAGTAAAGTTGCTTTTTTGGGTAATTTAGAATTTTATGTTCACATGTGTTTCTTTTCCAGTTTGATTGTTGATCAAGTCAGAATGCACATACATATTGCTTTTATTTAAAGTAATGAAGGATCTTTCCTATGGTGCTTATGGATGCCTATATGTATTGACTATGAAAAGGATTTTGAGCTGCAGTACCTTTTCAGATTAAAGCTTTTTTCATAGTGATAGTTTAAAGTAAATATGTGTCATATAATGCAAACTAAACCTACTTTATCACACCATTTTGTAAAGATAACTCCTTGTAGCACCTTTCCCTCCTTTTATATAACTCAGCATTTTTCTGTCTCGAACATCATTTGTAGCCCCAGTCGTTCCCAAAATGAAACAGAAAAAAGCCTTCTAGAACAAAATACAGAGGGCACATAGTTTCATAAGCAGTTCAAAAGCAGCAGTCTAGCATATTAAGCAGAGCTTAAGTGCACTCAGAAGTTCTAGTCTGCGAAATAAACACTCCTGCTTTTAGATCGTTCCCTGAGAAGTATTAGCAAAGTTCAATGCAAAATGGTAAGCTTCTGAGAAAAATTATGTATAGCCATTTTGCAAGAAAGGTTTGAGAAGTAAACAGAGTTGTCGTCAAGCATGAAGTAGTATTCATGTTGAACAAAAGTAGTGTTAAGCTGCAAACATACATCTTGAACATAGTAATATTTCTGTATTTCATGAATAGGTGATGTTGGTAGTGCATTAGCACTGAAGGCATAATGAGTAAGTTTCCTCAAGCACAGTTTTCATTAAAGAATCATAAGTCAAAAAATTAACTACGGAATCTTTTATTTAATAAAATAGTAGATTTTTGCTTAACTTAAGCATAACAAAAAGTAATAATCTTCACGGACATTAAAACTTGAAGTATTGAAAAGGAGATAACTTACATAGAATCATCATCAGTCCTAAATATCAGGCTTACCTATTTTAGGCAATAAGAAAAAAAGAAACAGGAACATACTTCGACATAGTACCTGAAAAGAGAAAGTACTAAACGAATACACTCCACGTAGCTAAGGTGAAAGTCAAATATACTGCATTGTTCACGAACTTTACTTTCTCTCGCCAATATCTTGGCGCACGTTCGTTTCGTACGCCTTTCGAGTTTCATTATGCAAAATACCTAAATTTATGCTAACAGGTGAAATTGTGCTGTGCAAGGTTTCCCAGTTAGGCAAATGCAGTCTAGATTGAATGATTCTTGCATGAAGTTGTGGCTGAAGCATGTTTTATAAAGATCAATGAAGTCACTACATGTTTTCCTGACAGCATACCCAACTTCAAGCTTGTAGTGTTTATTTGCACATAGACTACATTGAGTTTTTTTGGTAAATGGTAAATGACTTTATTGCAGCCGTAAAAAAGATTGATAAAGTCCCATAATCATAATATTTTGTGCTGAAAAGTCAATAATATTCCCTTAGCATGTTTTATTATAACCAAGTTTAGCATTTGGAGCTGATATGCAGTTTCATATATACTCTAGTTTCTGTTGAAATGGCAACTATCACAAAATGTTCAATGACAAAAACACGCATTCGAAACTTTTTGAAGTGCATGGCTACAAGTACTTGTTTAAAGTGATTCACAGTTTGGAAGAAGGTGGTATGGAATAGGAGGGGCACTCGAAGAAGTTCATATTTGTGAGAAATAAGTTTCATTTGTGAGAAATAAGTTTGTAACATGCAATAGCTTGGGAAAAATTGCAATAGTAGTATTTTTAAAAAAAATTTTAGTAAAAAATGGTAGTGTATTTTGTAATTTTCAGAATTGTATGCATTGTGCATTATGCACAATAGTAAGAATTCTACATCTGATTATTGCAGTTATCTCTGTTATGCTTTGTATAATACAATGACATAGAATTATATTATTAGCAAAATTATCATTGTAAAATAATTCATACATACATAAGCAAAATATCGAATGCAGAATAATGTGTAATCTCTTAAATAAGCAATTTATTTTGTGGTTACTAATACCTGTTTGCGTAGTCTGATGTTGTGGCCCATTAGAACTTGTATGGGCCTTGTAAGCAATTATTTATAAGGATGTAATTTGGGTTGTTTGTTCTTTAAAAGGATATTTAGGTTTCTAATGTAGATTTCTAATGAAGGAAAATCTTTTGTTTCTTCCTTTTACTTGACTTATAATGATACATTGGTGTTCAAAATTTAAGTTGCAGATGAATTAATTTTTTTGCAATAATTCAAAGTAGATATCTCTAATGTTTAACAAATGGATGTCATAAGCAGTTTAGGGCTTAGTAAATGCAGTGTAATTGTAATAATAATGTTGTTAAAAAAAATAAAAAGATAAATTTTTTAAAGAAAATGTGAAAGTGATTTTTTCTGAATATGTGAACTTTGTCTACAGAACCGTGTTCATTGCAAAAAAGTTAAAAAGCTGTCTAACTTCAATAAAATGGGTTCTCACAATTGTTTAGACAATGGATTGAGATGAAGAACCATTGGTAGACTTGATGCTGATAGACTCAAACAGAAATGGCTCAGTGGTAGAAGTATCTTGAATTGGCATATCGGTGTTATAGCATCAACTCAAAACAGTGGATGACATTACCAGGAGGCCTTGCTCTGGCCATCCAAGAGTTGTGAGACCATAGAGAGATGACAAATAAGTTCTTTCAAGAACATGCACGCACACACATACATATATGCCTAGCAGAGAAAGGCCTTTTATGACCAGCAATCAGGAATTTCTCCCATTCAAGAGATTTCAAAAGAGCTGATCATTTGTGGAGCTAGGTGCACTATTCTGTCAAGTGGCTGCTATCACTCATCTCTTTTCCTAGATGTTAGCAGGCTTGCTTGAATGCTTATGACTGAACTCTGTTGTAAGCTAATATGCCAGTTCATTTTGAGTTGTTTTTCAGTTTATACCCAGGCGTTTCAGGTATTGTGTTTTGTCTGCAAAGGAAAATGTGGAACAAAAATAAAAAAAAAGAATAATATATTAATGAAAATGAACATGAAGGAGAGTAAACAAAGGGAAAGTATTAATAAAATTGCCATGGCTGTAGGTATTGGACAAATTATAACAGGGTGGAAAATATTGGTGTGTAAAAAGAGTAGATAGTTTAAACCTTTCCAGCAAGCTACATTTTAAAGTGGGAATTTCAAAAAAAAAAAAAGATGGGGAGTCTAATCAGGCCCAGAGGAGTGCAGAGTTGCCAACTCTCCCGATTTAAGTGGGAGACTCCCGCTTTTCGACCACTCTCCCGCCAACCCGATTTACAATATATTTTTCCCGACTTTTTCTTATTCTTAAAATTTCTCACGACTTTTATGCAACTTGGCTTAATACTTTGTTATATGAATAAAAACAAAGTGCTTTTGGATGTCTGAAAGCAATTGAATTATTCTACATTATATCTAAAACAAAACCTTGCTAATCAGATAGCTTCTGCTTTGTGAGAGCATTATACGTATCCAGAAACGTCGTTCTCCAGTTCTCCAATGGGCTTCGAGCTCCACTGCGTGTCAGCTGGCATATATTAGCCAATGAAGACAAAGTAAGTTGTTATTTGGAGGTGCTTTAGTTATTTCTTTCATTTTGTCCAGAGTTGTGTGAGTACACGTGCCTTAGGGAAATAGTTTTAGAAATTATCATCTTTTGTTACGTCTGTGAGAAAGGGAAATACTCGTGTACGTTTCAAAAATCGTACACAGTTGACTTTCATTCCATTATTTCCTCAAAGAAATGTAATAAATTTGCGATGTATACCGCCCGTCGTTGCGATTTTTCGATTTCGCATGGTGGAAGGGCGGATGTTCTCAAACATGTACGTACGCAAAAACACAAGGATAACATGAGTTGTTTTTAAAAAAACGGAAAATTCAATTTTTCTTTGGAAACAAAGGACCAAAAAGTTATTAATGCAGAATGTCTGTTCTCTGCCTTTTTACTGGAGCACATCCTGCCACTGAATGCATCGGATCACGCTGCAGCTTTATTTAGAAAAATGTTTCCTGATAGTGAAATCGCTAAAAAATACTCAAGGTGCAAGAATCAAAACAGGATCAATTGTTAAAGAAATGGGTTTGAAAAATAAATCTTCAGTTATTGATTAGCATTAAAACAGCTCCTTTCTGCCTCTCTACGGATGGAAGTAATAATACCGATTCAAAACTGTATCCAATTGTTGTTTCTTTTTTTGATCCAGAGTCTTCAGAAATTGAGTGCAGTTTACTTTATGTTCCTACTTTAGAAGGACATTTGACAGGCTTTAATATAGCACAGCTAATTATTAAAACTTTAAAAGAAAATGCAGGCCATCTGGATAATTGCTTAGCACTTGGTGCCGATAATGCACCAGTATTGGTAGGCTTGGAAGACTGGTGTTGCAGGCATCTTAAGAAAAGGAAAATTCAGATTATGAGGTGCACCTGTCACCTCTTAAATTTAGCTGCTGAAAAAGGGGCAGCTTCTTTACCCATAAATGTGGATGAACACATCGTTGATATTTATTATTA